TGACAAAAGGCATGATCACACATGGAATATTCCTCGACATGCAACGTACGGACGTCTCGGCCCTGCTCAAGGTGGAGGAGGGGGCACGGAAACGCGTCGTGGTGGAGCAAGGCGACTCCCTGGTCGGAGACGCCGCCAGGGTCTCGGTCGCGGAGCTGGTGGTCCGGGCCTTGGGGCGGCCAGAGGCCATGGGCCGAGCACTCTGCGTAGTGAACGAGGAAGGCCCCCCTTTCTCGGAGGGGCAGTGGACTGCCTTGTTTGAGGGCTTGGCTTGAGATGCGGCTCCGTCTGTGAGCCGTGCGAAACGCGGAAGAGAGCGATGCCCGGGAAGAGGGAAGGGCGCGTGTGCGTGAGAAACATGGAGGAAGAGGGCGTGGGCGAGAAGTCCCCGCGGCTTGATGTAACAATAGAAAATTTAAGCCAGGTGGGGGCTAGCAGACGTTACTTTCTTGCTTTTCGAAGCCTTCACGTTGATCCCTCCCGACCATCTCCGCTCGCGTCCCTCCCCAGATAAGCCTGTAGTTGATCCTGCACTGCCCTCACTAGGTCGTCGATGGCCGCCAACCCACCTTGTCCTCGATCTCCACAGGCCAGTAGTTTGGAGACGGGCGGAATGACAGCGTAGTGCAGGTCGGTTTGCAGCATCCGAAGTTGCTGTGCTGTGAAAGGATGCTCCCACATGTGCGTGTTCATGGCGGGAGCCAATAGCACAGGCTTCTGCTTTAAATCCCAAGCCCGAACAATGCTCGTAACGAGGTTATCGCAGAGGCCGTGAGCCAGTTTCCCCAGTGTATTGGCCGATAAGGGGGCGATCAGGAGAAGGTCAGCCCAGTCCCGAAGCTGGATGTGTAAGACCGGGTCCCCCATTGCAGTCCAGGCGTCCCACTCATTCTTGTCCTCCAGTACTTCCACCCTTCCTCCCAGTTCCTGGAAAGAGGCCCATGCTGCGGGGTTGTACACCTTCGCACACTCCCAGAAGTGCCGTGCTGCCTTCGTGAGAGCGACCTTCACCTCGGCGCCAGCGCCAAGGGATAGGCGCAGCGCCAATTCCGGAATTTTGACCGTCGCGACACTTCCCGTGGCGGCAAGAAGGACTCTTGGTCGCCTCTGAGAACGATGCCGTGCCGCAGACATGCCACCTGTGCTCGTAGGGCGTGCGCGTGAGAGGGGGGGGGGAGGTTTGCGGGGCACGTCCAGGAAAAGCGACGCAGGCGAAGGGCTTACCACCGTCACATATCTTGCCCCTCCTCCTGTCGACCGTGCGACAGGCACGTGTTCACTCAAGAATGCTCAAAATTCCCTTTAATGTCTTCCTACTGGTCTAGGATGCTTCTATGTTGGCTGAGACAGGGACTAGGGGACCAGAGGGCATTATTTCTGGGTGTGAGAGCGGTTGCCACCCTCACCACAGGAACATCAGCCGTTCCAGCACCACCAGCAAGAACTACAAAAAGGACACTACCAGAATGTGTGGCATCAAAAAGAAGCTTTAGAACATCCGCAATAAGGACATCTGAAGCCGATACAGCCCCATCCTCCCCAACTCCACCTTCATCGTCTGGCAAAGGAAAAAAAGGAGGCCTCAAACCCAAAAAAAAGAAAGGGAAACGGCCTTCATCAACGGCAGCATACTTGCAGTCGCGCGCGGCGCAGTTGTCAAGGCACGAAGCTGCTGCTAAAGAAGCCAATTTGCCGTGGCGCATCGTGGCTGCAAGGTGCGTGGACTTCTTTACCCTTCGGGCGTGTCTCTTTTGGCATGGGGGGTGGCTTGAAATTCATGGTTCCTCGACTTTATTCTCCTCTTCTACCTTTCATATGCCGCAGTATTGTGGAACGTCATCCCATCATCATGAAAGAACCCGAGGACTGGGAGGCTGCGTACATGGAAATGCAAGAGGAGATCGCAAAGCATGGCAAGGTAGGGAAAGAGACATTGGAGCGAAGCATTTTCTGACCCTCGTGCACGCACTACGGCCCCTTTGCCGGCCGACTTGGCATGATGTCCACGCATTCTCTTCCTGCTCCACTCCTTGGGCAGGTCTTTCCCCCGGAGCTGAATCTGATGGGCCAAGCCGCTGAGCTCGATCGATCCGACGACGAAGTCCTGCCCGAGCTCCCTTTCAAGCTCGCCCCCAGGGTGACGAAGGCGGACCGTCTCAACGACCGGACGACGCTAAATCGTGCCTTGGCAGAACGTCTGTTCCTCCTGATCCGAGGACCCGTGACGCGGGGAAGGTGGGACTTGCCCATGGCCGTCTTGGAGGGCGGGGGAAAGGGCGGGGACATGAAGGGGCTATCCATGAGAAAGACGCACGAGGCAACGGTCAGAAGATTTTTGGGGGATAAATTCGAGGCTTATGTGCCGTCCAACGCCCCCGTGGGCATGCACTGGCGGGTTCCTTCCGAGCCGAGCACTGGGAAGACAGGAGGGGAGCAGACTTACGGCGACAAGGTCTTCTTTTACAGGGCACAGCACCTGAAAGGGCGGGGCAAAGTCGTGGGAGAGGGAGTGGAGGAATTCGTGTGGGTAACGAGGGAGGAGATGGGCGAGTACTTGCCCCAGGCGTCGGTGGAAGAGAAGGAATATGCCGAGTTGCTGACGAACATATTGTAGAAGAGGGGGGGGAGGTAGGTAGCACGTAGACGAACCCGCAGTCAGGTCTGACTCAAAGCATAAAGGGGCAGCACTGGATGCACCGCTCGCGAGATTAAGCAAAGGTGCTGCCAGAACCGTCGGAGGCTATCTTCCGGGTCGTCTTTTTCTTTTCCTTGGTGTGGCATTTTCCAAACATTACCCTCCCCCTTTTATTCCAATGTCTTGAGCAGCCGGAAGAGCCCCGCTGCCTCCCTGATCCTGGAGAACTCGATGCAAAAGGCCTGGACTTCGATGTAGAGGTCTTGGACGTGTATGATCTTGTTTCGGATGAGGGACTGCAGGAACACGCAGACGAGCCGGACGAGTCGGTTTTGCATGTACTTGTCCTTGATGTTCTCGCAGGAGGAGATGCAGTTGCTGATGTACAAGTGGATGAATTCCGTGGGCAAAGGCACCACGGTGGTAAGCCGGTTGACCACTTCCATCGAATGAAGCGACATCTCCATGTTCACGAGGGCGGACAGGTACTCGTTCTTGTGGACCGAGGACATGAGCTTGAGTAGGCACTCGATCGCGATCATCGGATTGTTCTCCACCAGCTCTGGTAGTTTCTGCGGCGTCAAACCACAGTAATGGATCAGGCGCGCGTCTCCTTCCAGCTCCCGTAAGACCTGTTGCTGCTGTTGTGGAACCAACGGCCCCCGGAAGGCTTTCGCCATCACCTCCCTCACCTCCGCGCCTTTTCCGTCATCCTCCCCCATGGCCGCGTCCCACATCAATTTGGAGGCGTAGTCCGGGTTCAACCAGATCCATTCCGTCTCCGCCACGCCCAAGACCGGGGGCGGGGGCCGCACGAAAGCGGGCTCAAAGCTGTGCAGCGACAGGGCAGCCATGTCCTCCTCTCCCTCCAGACCCAGGTCGTAAAGGGAGACCCCAGGCATCGCGTACCGCTGCACATGCTGTGCGGGCTCCGACGCCCCCGCCCCGCCTTTGAACTCCTCCATCCCTCCCGGCACCCCGACGCCCCCCTCCCGACCGCCCACCGGGTCTCGAACGTGCGGCCACACCCCAAGGCCCCGCAACCCTTGCATGGCTTCCTTGGCCTCGGGGGTATCGATGTACGAAGACTTCAAGGCCATCAACGCCGGGACCAGACGTTTCTGGAGCACCTCCACATTTTCTTTCGCTTGTCGTTGCCGGAGCCGAGCCAGCAAGAGGTGAGGAGTGTCCTCAAATACAACGTTTGCGCCCGATGGATTGAGCAACAGCTCCGCCACGAATATTTTCTCGGCCATGTCCAAGGCCGCAGTATCGTCCCCCGCCGCGCCTCCACTCCCAGGACCTTGCTCAAACGCGGCCAGGAAAAAGGGGAGGAAGGGGTTGCCCACGCTGCCTTTCGGGTGGTTTCGGTGCATGCGGGCAAGTAAGGCAAAGGCAAGTAGGCGCTGCGACCGGCTCAGAAGCTGGTCTTGTAAAAATATGCACAGGCCGCAACCGATTCGAAAGCGGTCCGGGGCCGGGAAGTCGCCCTCAAAGGCCTGTATACTCTTCTCAACGGAGGCTGTCTCGTCCTGGAATGGGGCCCAAGGGGGAAAAAGGAAGGTCGGGAGCTGATGAGTCATGGCTCTCTTTAAAAGAATCCCTAGATTGTCTGGATCCATGCATCCAATGCTAGCAAATGTGCGCGCACATCAGATTGGGCGGAACAGAGAAGAAAGAGAAGGACAAAGGAAGAGGTGAAGTTTGAATTCCACCGTCAAAAAAGTGCGATGACAAAAGGCATGATCACACATGGAATATTCCTCGACATGCAACGTACATTGAGAAGGCCCAGCAGTCGGACCACTTCGCTCTGTTTTATCAGCTGAGGCTGAGCAAGACTCTGGGGAGGTGCTGCCGACATGATGGTGTGATTTCCTATCCTCGATGTGAGCCTTGATTTGCCAAATGCGCGTCCATAGCGACTGCGGTCGGCTGTGCGAGAAATTTAAAGTGAACGAGAGTGAGAGATGAGAAGTCATAGGGCACAAATCGTGTCGGTATGGTTTTGTACGAGTCCAGGCTTGGTGTGGGTTGTCTCCGACACAATTCCTCTCGCTCGGCCCGCAGGGAGAGGGGACAGGGCACTTTTCGTGTCGACAAGGACGGAAATGTCGGCCGGCATTGAATGCGGGCTTGTGGATAAATTTTGGCATTTATGGGAAGGAGGAAGTTAGGTGCTTACGCTGCTTAGACAATGTATCACCGTGTAAGGGACTGGGAAAAGCTTCAGGCTACTAGTAGGAGACCCTTTCAGGCGCCCCAGCTATATCCTTTTTCGAAAAACATGCGCAGTGCTTCTTCCATGGTGCGTTACCTCACAATGTGTTATTCTTTCTATTTTCCGTACGTACTTGCCGCAATGATGGCTGGATTTTCCGGCTCTTTCCTGATTTCCTGATACAAAGAATACGCATTTATTATCAGCAAACACTCGCTTTCCATGCCTGATCTTGCCATATTTCTGTTCCTGCTCCTCGAGGATTATTTAAAGATTAGTACTTTGATTCTACACCCTCCTCGCATGATTTCCCCTTTACCATCGCCATTCTTCTCTTACTCCTTTTTTCCACCTCTCCCTTCGTCTTCCTCTTTCTCCTTGTCCTCTCACTCCTCCCCATCGTCTTCCTCCTCTGATGCCTCTTCTTGTCGATTTCCCCTTTTAAGTCTTCTGTCTCTCCCTGCTCATCTTCCCTTTAAGAAATAGGCGGCCCCCCAGCGAATGGATCGGTTAGCTCCGCTAGCTGCTGACTCGCCACACTGCTCTCATTACTGCGCACCTCCTGTTCACTCTCTTCTTCCTCCTCCTCCTCATCCTCTTCCTCCTCTTCCTCTTCCTCCTTCCCCTCCTCTGTCTCCTCCTCCTCTTCTTCTTCTTCTTCTTCTTCCTCCTCCTCCTCCTCCTCTTCCTCTTCCTCCTCTTCTTCTTCTTCTTCTTTCGACTCGCTCTCGGCCCCCCAGACACCCTCTTTCTCCCTTGCAGGGAATAGAGAGGGCGGAAACGCCTCCACCTTGCCTTTCAAAAACCCCTGCTCCCAGTCGTGCCTCCGCTTCTCATACACG